AAAAGGCAAGAAGGAAGCTCCCTGTGGTCTCACTCTGAACTGAGACTCCAGCTGACCCTTTGGCTGCAGCTGCAGCTTTGGAGGGGATGTGCCTCGGTGGTGCTCTCTCTTCCCTTTCCCTCCTCAAGAAATGAGTTAATCAGTCCCAGTAAGGGCTCCTGTTGGCTCTGCCTTCTCTCCTGGCATTTTGGGACTCAGAAATTTGGGGTGAAGGCTACCAGGAGCTGCATCTCAGAGCTCTTAGCTGTTGCTGATGTCCCTGTCCTTGTGCTTGCTGCCTGTCTTTCAGGAAGATTATGGACTCAGGAGAGCTGGATTTCTACCAGCACACAAAGGTCTGTTCCAACACCTGCCGGAGCACCAAAATTGACCTGACTGGAGCCAGGGTGTCCTTGACCAGCCAGACATCGACAGAGTACATCCCTCTGACTCCTGCCTCTGCCGATGGTACGTGCATTCCTCACCCTCAGCAGGGCCTTTGACGCATCAAAGCACACAAATAACTGAGGTTCTTGTGGCTGCCGCATCTCTGGAAGTGTCCAAGGCCAGGTGGGACAGCACTTGGAGCAATCTGGTCTAGTGGAAGGTGTCCCTGCCCGTGGCAGGGGGTTGGAATGAAATGAGCTTTGAGGTCCTTTCCAACCCAAACCATTCTCTGATTTTACGAGTTTGACCTCGTAATTACAAACAACTGTTTCATTGAAAAGCGTTCTGATTTTGAAATACTTCTATATTTAACTCCTTTTGCCCCTGAGTATTAAGAACAGCCCCCAAAGTGCTCCACACCCCAGTCTCCTGTGGCATCTCTGGAACAGGATAAGCCTCTTGGTTGGCTCTGCAGAACACCCATCCACCACATCCTAGTATTGTAGTGGGGAAGCTGATGCTGATGCACAGCGCAGCCCACTCCAAGCCCCCCCGTTAAATATGAGCTCCCCAATGCGAGATGTTTGCCAGCTGCTGGCCAGTGCTGCAATAACCAGAGCCCTGAAAGCCACGGAGTAAAGGAGCAGAGGGACTGGGTTTAATAGCTGCAACTGAGCATTCCAAAGGCTCTGCACAGCTCTGTGGGGCTCTGGCCAGATTCCCATCCATCCTACTCCTGCGCACAGCATGAATGACGCCTGTTCCCCAGCTCTATGGTAACAAAACTGCTGAGATTTGGCAGAGCTGGAGGGAAGGAGGGATCCCCCCCTGCATCCCTGTGCAGTGCAGGGCTGCTCTTCCCTTGGAAGCTTTAAAAGCCCTCAAGACAAACGGTGGCTGGGTAAAAAGGGCTGCCAAAAAAATTAGACTCGAAATCTGTTTGACTTTTGCTCTGAGCAGTGCTGGTATGGTTACAGGGGGAAAAGAACAGGAGGGAAATGCTGCTCTCAAGCATGTGTCCTTGTGCTGCAAAGGTTGCAGGAGCAATCCCTGGGGATTGCACTCTAATGTAGGAAAATAAGTACAGCTGGCACAGCAACCACTGGGGCGTCTCTGTTCAGCATTGAGATCTGCATTCAAACAGATGTGATCCTGTATAAAGGAGAAGTCAGAAATGCAGCAAGGGAGTGCTTCCCTTGGAAACAGCCTGTGAAAATACAGGCAAAAATCAGGACCTGGGAATTTTTTTCTCTTCTCTTTTGCTATTGGTTGCAGTGAACGGATCCCCAGCTACAATAACCATAGAAACATGCGAGGATGCCAGCGATTGGACCACCAGCATTGGAGGTATGGCTTGAGATCCCGCAGGGCTCACTGGGTGGAGATGTGGGGAAAGAGGGAAGCAGCAGGTTAAGCAGCAAGAAGGACCCTCCTACCAGAGCAGCCTTGCATGAACCTCCACTGAGATTATTCCTTTGCTGCTTATGGAATAGCACAGTGTTCATCCCCTGGCTGCACAGCCTTGGGATGAAGTTGTTTCCAAGCACCAACATATCAAAGCCAGGGCCAGATGCAGCTCCAGGGCAAAAAAATTCTTATCAGAGGGGTCATGAAATCATTCTCCTTGGCTCTACTGGCTGTAGCAAAATGTCCTATTGGTGTGGGATAGGGTCAGGAGAGCATATCCTCCGTTGGGTCCATGCTCTGGGTGGGCTTTGCCCCAGCCCTGTGACCTCAGGGGTCTCTCCCAGCCTGGCATGACTGCCCTCCTGCAGGGGTGTCCACAGGGAGCCCCTAGCAGATTACCATTAAGCCCTGCCAAAGATTTTGAGGTTCTCCCCTTGCTTCCTGTTTCTCCAGATGACACCTTTGCTTTTTGGCAAGGTCTGAAGGACAGTGGTCTTCTGGAAGAAGTGATCCATGAGTTCCACCAGGAGCTGGTGGAGACCATGAAAGGCTTGCAGCAGCGAGCACAGGATCCCCCGCTGCAGCTCGGGGGTAAGGACCTGGACATGGGTGGTCGGTCACCTTGGGAGAGGAGCTTGTGGACTTTTTTATCCTTAGGGATGTCTGGATAGCATGATAGGGACATAGCTCATAAAAAAAATCTCATTTTTGGCTGATTGGTGAGGCTGCACTTGGGGATAATTCAGGTGACCTCAGTTCTCCAATTCTCCATGCCTGTGGCTTCCTCTCTGCTGGCTCTGGGTCTGGACAAATGCTTGGCTTGGGGACTGATGTGGAATTTAGGCCGTTGGAATAATGATGCAGCAAGCAGCTACTGTGCCAGCAGATTTCTTATCACCCCTACTAGGCAGGAGACAACTGTTTACATGCCAGTGACCTCCTGCCCTTTCTCATGGCTTCTGCCTTCTCCTCTTCCCCCCAGCCTCTTTCATTATCCTCCTGCAGATTTTGGCTGTCCCAGCTGGACGTGTTTGTTGTTGGGTGGCTTTTGCCAAGCCACAAATAGTTTGCGCAGGGAATTTTGCTTCCTCAAAGATTCTGTGTCTTGTTTTTAAGATGCTGTTTTACTCAACAACGTTGTCCAGAACTTTGGGATGCTGGATCTGGTCAAGAAGGTCCTGGCCAGCCACAAGTGCCAGATGGATCGCTCAAGGGAGCAGTACACACGGGATTTGGCAGGTATGTCCTGGACACACCGGTGTGGCACCGGGCATCGCTGCCAGCGCCTTTTCTTTTGGGCTGAGAAAGTGGGGGTTGTGTTAAAGCTGGTGTTTGTTAAACCAGCCACACCAGGCATTGGCATAGGCCTCTGGGAAGCTTGTCCAGGATCCAGGCTGAGCCAAACCTCTTCCCTCTCCAGCTCTGGAGCAGCAGTGTGACGAGCACCGCAAGCGAGCGAAGGAGCTGAAGCACAAAGCGCAGCATCTCAACAATGTCTTGATGACCCTCACACCCGTCTCCGTTCCCACACCTCTGAAACGCCCCAGGCTGACCAGGGCCACCTCTGGACCAGCTGCCATCACCTCCCAAGTCCTGTCCCAGCCAGCACAGCTCGCTGTCACCTCTGGCATGCCAGTGTCCCAGGTTGCCAATCTCCCTCTCGGCAAAGTGGTCTCGGCCCTCCCTCCTTCGGTGCTGGGGAAGAGCCCAGCTCAGCCCCCCGCCGCCAGCTCCCCGGCCTCCCCTCTGCTGGGGGGGTACACGGTGCTGGCCTCTGCCGGCTCCACCTTCCCCGGCACGGTGGAGATCCACCCGGACGCTTCCAACCTGACGGTGCTGAGCACGGCTGCGGTCCAGGACGGCAGCACGGTGGTGAAGGTGATGAGCCCCTTCCAGCTCCTGACGCTTCCAGGACTTGGCACAGCCATCCAGAACGTGACACAAATAGCTCCCAGTGGGAGCACGGTCGTGACTGTCCCGTCCGGTGCCACCGAGGCTGCCGGGGACGAGCACGCTGCCGCCGCCATCGAGGTGACCGCAGTGGCTGATGAGGCGGAGCAGAAGTGAGAGGGGGGACTTGCCTGGAGGGACGCTGGCCGTGCCACTCTGGGGGGAACTGCCTCTTCTCTGGCTGCGCTGTGGGACGAGGAGTGGTGTCATGAGGGGCACGGGCTAACAAGACTCAGAGCAGCTCGTGTTGGGAGCGAGGAAGTTCAGGTCAGAGGGAAGGAGGGGGGAGGAAGGATGCCTGGAGAAGGGAAAGGCAGAAATGCTCTGCCTTGTTTGGAGGAGGGAAGAAAAAAAAGCTTATTTTTTTATCAAGCTTTCCTCCCCTATTCTCTTGGAATAGTTTTCCTGCTCTGGGTCATCAGCCCAGCCTTGTTGGCACAGCTGGAGCAGCATCCATCTGAGAAGTGGGCAGGAGCAGGGAGAAGGCCGTAGCAAAAGGAAGCTGCCAAGGGGATCTGGTGTGCAGGGAGCTGGCTGCTCCCCATTCCTAGGGGGCTGCAGGAGTGGAGAGGGATGCCAAGAGCAGGTATTCTGTGGATGTGTACAATCACTGACACCAGGAAGGGCTCTGGCAGCATGGGCACAGGCCCTGGGAGGTCGGGTGGTGTGTGTGACACTGATTTTGGGTGGCAGAAACAAGTGGGAGCTATTCAGACAGTGGACATGATGGTTGCCCTGGTCTGCTGGGGAAGGAGCAGGAACAGAGGAACCCACAGGGCTGAGAAGAGCTGTGACCTCTGAGGATTTAGGGTCTTTTTCTAGTTTTCTCAGAAAAAAATAAAAAATCCATTCTTGGGATTTTTTTAAGCCAACGGCGATTTTTAAGCAAAGCCCTGGTTGGGAAGCTCGTTCTGCACAGCAGAGCTGTGCTGCAGAGCCTGCAGAGCTGAGCCCTACAGAAGTGCTCAAGGAACTCACACTTCCTCACAAGTGGGGACCCTGCTGTCCCAGCATCCCGTGGGAGCTGGGCACTGCCATTCCCTCCCTGCTGGGTTCAAGCAGCTGTTCTGTAACGGGGTGGTCGAGCCCCCAGTTCTCCTTCAGCCACCCCACTCACTGCAACTCTCACCAGGTCCCATCCCAGGGCCTGTGTGTCTCACACTGTCTCTGGCTGGAAGGAGTCGGGTGCTTGGAGTGTTGGGGTTTCTCCAAACTTGATCTGGCAACAGCAGCAACAACAGGTCACTTTATTGAGTAATAAATATTTTTTTGAAAGAATGTGGCTGGTTTATTGTGTTTTCTGTGTCCAGGTATGACAAGCTGCGATTGTGAAATGGGGCTATGGCAGGACAGAAACGCGCTTGGTTAAATATAAATGTCCATGTCCTCTGTGTTCCCTCTGGCCATGGGTGTGCAGGGAGCCTGAAATGTGGCTTCAAAGTCTGGGTGTCCATGGCACAGCTGGAACAGCCTGGCTGCAGCCAGTGCTGATAACCAGTGGTCCCCAACCTATGTTTAGAGGAGTTCTGACACGTAATCAGGAAGAAGTGATCTATTCCTCTGAAGCATTAGATTTTGTTTCGTTTTGGCTGAGACTCAGCTGGGGCTGCAGTTGGTGAGGAGGAGTCCTGCCTTATCAGAGGTTTTTCCCTCCCAGCTGGCTGCTGCTGAGATATTGCTGTCATATCTCTGTACTTGGGACAGCAGCAGCGTGTCAGACCGAGGACATATAAAGGGTTGTGATCACACTGAGCTGCCTTTTGCCTCTCCAGCGTGAGCAGCAGTGCTGAGCCACACCTGAGGTGTGTTTCCAGCCCGAATTCCCTGTGCTGCAATGGTGAGTGAATGTCCCTCTGCAACACAGGGTCACCTTTCCCCAGCAGGGCCAGGCCTGGAAAGCTGTGGTGCCTTTGCCCAGCCCTGGAGAGCTGTGGGTTGAGCATACTACTCCAGCCATCTCTCCTTTGGCCAAACTCATCCTGATTGTCCAGGGGCTGTGGGAGGGGGAATGTTCAGGTGGAAAGGGAACAGACCTCCTGGCTTCTCTTTAAAGGTACCTGAGAGGTGGCACTGGAGCATGGGCTGGGGCAGGATTTTGTCAGCTCTGTGTTGGTGTGGTGCAGCAGTGGGCAGCAAGAGCTGGGGCAGAGCAGAGCAAGCAGGAGCAGCAGCTCCCCTCTGGCTCCATGCACCTTTACCTGCCCTGGAGACTATAGATCACCTCACCAGCAAAGCATTCCCAGCGTGGGTGCACTTTGCCCGGCAAAGCAGCTCTTCCTCGGGATGTAAACAGCTCCTCAAGCAATAAAAGCTCGACAGGTAGATTTGGGCTGGTGCAATTCTCCCCTCCCTTTGCAGCAGCTCTCAGGGCAGCCAGACATGGAGGTGCCGATGGGACAGCCCTGTCTCCTTCGAGAGCCCGCCTGGGATGTTCAGGGATGCCCCGGTGATGTGCTCCACTCCTGGGGTGGCTGTGCTGCTCCCGAGTGTGCCGCGGTGCTTCCCTGCCCGGCCGAGCCCAGCTGGGGGCTTGCAGAGTCAGTGGCTCCTGGTAAAATGAGGGCTGAGAAGGAAAAGCAAAGAGGGGAAGTTGTCTGCAGCGAGTTGTATTATCAGTGTCTGGATGAGTGGCCTTGGGCTGAATGCGACCGTGGGCGATTGGGCAACTTTCCCTGGCCGGGGGGAAGTCCCATGTGAGTCTGGCAGTAGATCCTGATCTTGCAGCCCTGGTTTCAGCAGGGGTGGGAAAACACTGCTCGTGGAGAGCACATCTCACCTGTGGATCAGCTCTTCCTCCCCACGGCCCTGAGACCTGGGGCTCTGCAGGGTGGAGCCCCAAGCCCTTCCCAGGGGCAGCACCCATCACTGGGGGCTCCCAAGGCTGCAGTGGGTGTCCTGCACCCCACAACTGGGACATTGCTGTGCATCCCAGTGGGTCAATCTATGCTGTGACCCTGTGGGAGGGCTGGGGCTCTCAACACCCATTCTACCAGCCTGGTGCTGCCAGCACTGCCTTCCTGGGGTTCCTTTGGGTGCTCAGTCTGAGATCTGCTCCCCTTTCCTCCCGTGGGGAGCCCAGGACTGCTCCACTCACAGCCGGAGTGAACTCACACCCAGAGACAAAATTACATAAGGGCTGCAGATGACTCACGCCAAATCCCTGTTTTTCCCTGGATTGTGTGGTGATGGAGACTCGGCCACTTGCATTTTCTCCTCCAGGTATCCACACACACGGGAGCAGTGTCTGGGAAAGGGCAGAGGCTCCCACTTCCAGCAGCACCGCGAGCAGAGCCTTGCCCCGGTCCTGCCTGGCACCTGCCTGCGGGGTGCGGGGGAGAGGGGGCTGTGAGAAACAACCCATTCCCCACTCTCTGCGTCTCTCTGGGCACGTTAGGGCTGTTACCGGGACAGGAGATGCTCCAGCATCCTCGCGGGAAGGCTCTCCCAGCTCCCAGCAGCTTCCCCGGACGAGCTGGGGGTGTGCGGCACACAAAGGGCAGCGTGTCTGGCGCTGGGGAGGGGACAGCAGCGATGGTTTCCTGGGGAAACCGCACCGTGACTGTCGGCCCTGTCGCCGAAGGAATGGAAACCGAAACTCAGAGCTTTCGGCTCGGCGTTTGTTTGTCTAAAACCGGCAGATCCTGGGTTTCGGCTCTCCCCCGCCCTAATGCTGTGGATGTGGTGACGCAGCTTTGCCTCCTCCCTGCTCCGGCAGCGGCTTCCTGCGCTCTGCCGCCAGCGATGGAGGGACGGCAGAGCCGGCTGCTCCCTGCGCTGCTCCTCCTTGTGTGCTGAGCAGGGCCGGAAGCTTTATATAATACAGTGAAAGCTGTTTGCTTCTAGAGCTGGAGGGAAAATATCCCACCTGTTAAATCAGTGAAACCTCCAGATAGCCCACCTGTACAACCAGAGTGAAGCCTCAGTGCCAAGGCTGCTCCGCCTGGGTGAGCTGGGCACTGCCTGTCCTGGCTCGGGCACCTCAGGGGAGTAGTGCCAGGTATTCTGTTTGTTTTTCCCTGCTGTCTGACGCTGTCACAGAGACCTTTGCTATGGTTTAGAGTCAGGGCCACAGAGAGGATGACTCCTGCCCCAGGCAGCAGCAAATGGGGATGGACTCTATCACTATGGAACACTCTGATACCAGGGCTAGGCCTCGCTTGGTTACCCCTTCCCAGGCAGAGATGTGGCCCTGGTGCTGCTCAAACCAGGGAAAAACATGGGAACTGCTATTCCCATGGCAGCTGCAAGGGCAAAGCTGGGAAGCCCTTTCCTGGGTGGGAACACTGAGCACAGGGACTCCATGGGGTCAGATCCTGCTGTGAGGCTCCTCACTGACAGAGCACAGAGTGCAGCAGAGCCTGGCAGCCGTGGTCCTGTGCAGGTGGCCATCCTGCCATGGGTCCAGCAGTGACCAGGAATGCCTGGTCATTTTCCACCACGTTCTCTGCTGGGATCCATCCAGTGCCCTCTGCTCCAGGGGGACCCATTCAGCACCCACAAGCCTGGGCTGCCCCACTCCTCTTCTTGGTGGGAAAACCTTTCTTGGCTCCCCAGGGTGCTGCTGGATGGCAGCGAGGTGAGAGCTCCCTCTGAGGCACCCAGTGGCTGCAACTGCACAAGCAGGAAGGTCAAAAACATAATTTCTCTTCCTTCTTCCACTGGTGTTGACAAACGTGCCAGAAATCGGTCTCTGCCCCTCCTTCCTCCCTGCTCCAGTGCCGTGCCCCACGGGCTGGCTCTGTGTTTCCTCCTCCCATTTGCTTTGAGGAAAAACTTTTGTCGCTAAGGCTGGCTTTGTGTTGAGGTGGCACCACCATGAACAACGCGCCCATCGATCGATGGAAGGATTGAACAGCATCCCTGTCAGCAGGGACACTTTACCTCTGGTGCCTGAGATTTTTTGCAGCCACTTGTAGCTGGAGGTGTGTTCATTTTCCCTGGCTGTTTCCGAGGCTTGCAGCTGGCTTCTGGCATGAAGATAATTCCATTAAGTGGGAATGCTGGGGCTTGACCGCAGTGTTGGGCACTTTGATTTACAGGTCAGGGCTTTTCTGAAGCCCTGTGTCCAGACTGGTGAGATGCAGCTGCTCTTGTGGGTTCCTGGGGCTGGGGCTGTTAGAGGAGCTTCTTGGGATTTTGCTCGGGTGCGTGTGTTTTGGGGTCAGATCAGGTTGCAGGGTTTGTTGGTGCTGTGTTCTGGTTCTACAAATTTGCGCCATCACCAAACCGCACCAGGGTTTGCTCAGTGCTGGGATGAGTGTGATGATGATGGAGTGCTGGGTGCTGAGCTGTTCTGGGATGGGTTTGGTGAAGGGGCTGAGAAGGGGGTCCACAGCACTCCTCGGGCGCTGAGCATCAGCTGATGGAGCTGGTGTGGTAACACGTGCCCACAAACTGGGGTGCGGGACCTTGCCCCAGGCTGTCGGTGCTGCCCCACGAAACACGATGCAAATGAGACTCGGCTGCTGCCGGGGGTGGATTTGGGGTTTGTTTTTGGCTCGAGGCTGAACTCTGCAGCGGGTGCATCGCACCAGGCGGAGAACCGAACGGAAAACGAAAGTGATGATGAACAGAAAGGAGGGCAGCGCTCTGCCCCCCACTCCCGCCCCCCCGAGCCCCGTTAAAAAG